GATCCCAGAGCTGACAATTATTCTGACTTGGTGGAAAATTTTATAAAATTATATTGTCAGATGGGCGCTCGGATGTCCCTAGCAATGCAATTGCTGCACTCGCATCTTGACGTTTCCTTCCAATTTTGGAGACGCAATAAGTGATGAACATGGTGAAAGGTTTCACCTAGATCTAGATCTCAAAGGAATGGACACTAGACGTCAAGGCAAGCTCAACCCAAATATGTTGTGGCATTAATGTTGGTTTCTTCAACAGAAGATGGGCATTCTACACAATGAACAGTGCAAGATCCCCAAGCACTTCCAATTAGATAGATAGATAGATAGATAGATAAGAAGATAGATGATCATCGATCTCTAGAGTGTTCGGCTAAAAAGGAGAAGGTGAAACCTGAAGACGTTTGATAACACAATCCTCAAATTTATCTCCACTTGAGTATGTAAATATAATAATATTATTTCTTTTATGAGTTTGTGTACCAAATAGATATTAGTCATTATGGGTTGAATAAATTAACCTATTGTGCATCTCGTAGGGTGGAAGACGTCCTAACAAATATGCAACCAAAAGTTTGTGCAAAAGGCTTGAAGAAATACCCTAACTAAGGATCGGATCCTTAAGGTTCGAAAAACGAAAAAATAAGAAAGAAAAGACATCCGAGCTGTGCATTAGAGTTAAGGAAAGTCAATTCTAGAAGGGAGGTGGCGCTTTTTGATCCCGAAAAACATATGAATAATAATACATGTAATATCAAATATTACTTTCGATTTACCTGAGCCATTACGTTTTGTTTTGTCCTCACTCTGGCCACCCAGGAACAGAGCAAAATATGAGAAATCCGAGAAGAATTGTTGAAGTAACAAAAGAATTGAAATGAAAATACGTTACGGTGTCGGTTTACAAGTTTGCATGTTAAAAAAAAATCTGACTTAAACGTATAAAAGAGTAGATTGTTATAGAAAAAGATCCAAGTGTGCTTCGTGTGCTATCTGAGTTGGCGATAAGTTGAGGAACGGTCCCCCTTAGAAAGTCAAAGGCTTAATTAATGTAGGCGTATAACAATTACTTTAGAGTTTGCCTTAAAATATAAGACACCGTTATTTCAACAGAAACTAAAACTCAGATAAGTTAACGATTTTTATAATAGATTACAGCGTTCAACACAGATTTTGTCACTTGGAAAATGCTTACCTTTAGTTTTCTAGTACGCTGATTTCAAAGGTGTCAATCTTTTTGTGTTTTTTTTTTGGGGGGGGGGGGGGGTGGATTTTGTCCAGATTTTTAATTTTTAGTTCCTTACAATTCATGTTTTTTTATGTGTTGAATGCAGTTTGTGATCTAGAACTTTCGTATCAGATTTACCCAACAAGATGGACGCATTAAGCTGTCAAAAAAGAACACGTTCTTGCGCACGGATATTTTGGTTGCAAAATTGGTGATCATGACAAACCACGGGCACCATGAGCTGCATGGCTTATTATCATTAATCATTAAAGTAGTTTTATGGTCAACCACAGAAACTGACTTATGCTGTACGTATGGCCTAGTGTGAACGAATAAATCATTACATTGAATGGTGTTACTTTTATTTTTATTTTTTTGGTAAGTGTTTTACGGCGCTCGCAACTGCATAAGGTCATAAGAGCGCGCAGAACACATTAAAGTTTTTCAGTGGGTAGGAAATTTTAAATTTTGCCCTGGTGGCAGCTAAAGCCTACTCTTATCGATTTTAGACCACCAAAGGATCTTTAACGAGCGCCACCTGCACACGGGACCTCCAAGATTTTTCGCCCTTGTCCGAGAAGGCTAGGAGTAGATCTTTCCTACTAGAAAATCAGGGGTGTTGCTGAAAGACAGCAGTAAGAAAGAGCCAAGGAATAGCAGTAGAAAGGCTGCAGAAAGAGTCAGGAGCCCAGAGGAGAGAGCAAAGGAGGGTGGGGGCCGAAAGTAGAGACGAAAGCAGACGATAGTACATTGCTAGAGAGCAGGAAAGCAGGTGAAAGGAGATAATTTTAGATCAGAATATTTTCCGTCACTACCCGGATTCGAACCCGGGACCTTTGAAGGAGAGGTGAACACCTTAACCCCTAGGCCACGAAAGCTCCCTTCGTGTTACTTTTGCATTGCAAAAATTGTTGGCTTCTTGAACCATATACCAGTCAAATATTCCATACTTAAACTGACAGGGAAAGAAGACTAAATTAAAACTGAAAGGTATTTTTATTTTATTATTA